ACTAGAAGCTTTCCTAACAACACTGGGTGCTATATTGGAGTTCTTGCTGCGTGGTTTTGCTGCACTAGAATCCAGCTTCTCAGAACGCTTGCTGGTTGCAATTTGCGAGACACTGTCCTCCGGTCCAGTGTCAATAGCAGGAGACGCCCCTGGCTGCAGATACAACACCAGCTCTGAATCCATCCAAGCATCAATTTCATCAATAAATTCTTTAAAACTGATCAGTTTAGGTTCAAACCAATCCCCATGATCAGTTTCTTTTTCATCATCGTTGAGCAGCCTTTGAACAGCATTTTGTAAATCCATAAACTCTCCCAAATAATTGTTAAATGTTTTCATGTGTTCATCTATGGAGGTCGTTGATTCTCCAGCATCAATGAGAGCATGAATGTCATTTCTTTTTCTTGTCAGAACTCCAAGTTTTGCTCTGCGTCTTTTAATGAAATTAAAAAGCTCTCGTTCATTTTGAATTTCGTCCTCTTGAACATCCATTTCTGAGAAAGTTTCTTTCTTCAGGTTCAACAGTTCATAGTCCAGCACAAACGCTTCAGCTCGGCTCATTTACTCACAGAATTTGTGCGTCATCCTCTCCCAGTCCATTCTGTGGAGATCAAGCCATCAAAGTCCTTCCAATCCTCCAACTTTTTCTATCTTCCAAGACGACATCCTGCAACTTCAAATGATTTTTTGACTTAAGTGTCACGGCCTTTAAACTTCCAAAAAACGATTTCCAACTAAAGGCCGTTGGTGAGAACGGGTGATTTCCTCTAAGCACGCACTTTTAGATGATTTCTTACAAATTTTATAAATGGTTTATTCTTCCAAAAAAGAGAAAGTTAAAAATTCATTCAAAATGTTCTACTTTTCATCCAACAAAAATTAACCTTAAATGAAATTATCAGGTCTAAAAAATGGTCAAAAAATCATTTAACCAGATCCTCCCATCTCCCCCGACACTTGGCAAACAAACGTTTTCCACACGCCTCCCCGTGTGCTACTAATCAGCTTAATGACTAAGGCGTGTCCAAAAAGTTCACAACTACATCAATTTACCAAAAAATAAAAAATTAACACATTTAAATTGCAAACTTAACTTATTATAAAAGGAATGATGAGAAATTCTAAAAGAAATTTATAACTAACAGATTTATGCTATTTTACTGAAATGGCCACCACAACGCCAAACACAGTAAAAAGTTAAATAAAAACTCTTTCTTAGATGTGACGTTACCGAAGAGGGCGAGGCAGGAGACAGTCGGAGAGGAGGCGTGGGTCAAAACCAGATCGGACAAGCAGGAACAGGGAACAGGCTGGAGACGAGGTGGCAGACAGGCGAGGGTCGTGGTGGCAGGTAGAGTTCAAGGCAGGGGTCAGGAGTGAAAACGAGGTCCGGAGGCTGAGATCAGGCTGTCACGATCTGCTCCTACCTCCCTCTGACTCCTGCCCCTGATGTCACCTGCCCCTTGTTAACCTGCCCACGTGTTCCTGATTTTCCCCTGTGTATTTATACCTCCCGTCTTGTATGTGCCAGGGTCGGATCATTGTTGTTTGTTGTATTGTGACTTGTTTCCTGCCGTATCCTGTCATTACATCCATTTTTTATTTTATCTGTGCCTGCATTCCTGCCTCCTGGTCAGCTCCACCACACATGGTCCGCCGCCACCCACACCACATCATGACAGAATGATCCGACCAACCTGGACCTGTGGTGAGCTCTGTAACATCTCCCTGGAGGATTAATTTTTTACTTTTTCTCCTCTTAGCTGAAGGAGACTTTGACTCGAGGGTTTTTGGTGCATCCTACCTGTTTTCGGGGTGGTCGGACCAATTCTCCTCTCCTGCTTTTTTTGCCCCGTCCTGTTTTTTCATGGAAGCTGCAGATCCTGGAGCTTTGATGGAGTTACACCCCCTACGCACGCCAACATTCTCCGAGGTGGTAGGGCCGGTCTCCCCGCTCCTCTTCTGCTTCCCTGCACCCAAGCCTCCGCCTGTGACCCAGCGGATTGTGATGTGCACCTGCTCTGACGTTTGTCAAGTACCTGCCGCTGTTCCTAGTTTCCTCACGTCGCTACCTCAGTACACCACCTTCCTGGTCCACGCCTGTGGGACCTACACCTGCAGGGTCTCCACCTGCAGGGTCTACGCCTGCAGGCCTCCCACGCTGCAGCCTCTACAGGGTCCCACCGCTGTAGCCTCTACAGGGTCCCGCCGCAGCAGCCTCTGCAGGGTCCCGCCGCTGCAGCCTCTACAGGGTCCCGCCGCTGCAGCCTCTACAGGGTCCCGCCGCTGCAGCCTCTACAGGGTCCCGCCGCTGCAGCCTCTACAGGGTCCCGCCGCTGCAGCCTCTACAGGGTCCCGCCGCTGCAGCCTCTGCAGGGTCCCGCCGCTGCAGCCTCTGCAGGGTCCCGCCGCTGCAGCCTCTGCAGGGTCCCGCCGCTGCAGCCTCTACAGGGTCCCGCCGCTGCAGCCTCTACAGGGTCCCGCCGCTGTAGCCTCTACAGGGTCCCGCCGCTGCAGCCTCTACAGGGTCCCGCCGCAGCAGCCTCTACAGGGTCCCGCCGCTGCAGCCTCTACAGGGTCCCGCCGCAGCAGCCTCTACAGGGTCCCGCCGCTGCAGCCTCTACAGGGTCCCGCCGCTGCAGCCTCTACAGGGTCCCGCCGCTGCAGCCTCTGCAGTAAGATACTTACTTCTGCTGCAATTTTTTTAATGCTTACAGCATTCAAACTATAATGTCATATCTTCTTCAGAAAAACTGTTTTACAGCAACAATCTTCTCTTATGTACTTGTGTCTAGAATAAAGTTTCGAATTTTATATAATTATACACTAGTTGTCTAATACAAAGTTTTCTAAAATGGAGGTGTGGGTCTAGTAGGAATAGATGGAAGCAGGGGTTTCCTAGAGAGAGATGGAAGCAGGGGTTTCCTAGAGAGAGATGGAAGCAGGGATTTCCCAGAGAGTGGAGGAAGCACGGTTTTCCCAGAGAGTGGAGGAAGCACGGTTTTCCCAGAAAAAGAAGGGAGCGCTTTGTGGGGGACTGTCCTCTGCTCTATAGGTTCCCCTCTGACTGGTTGTGGAGCAGACTCTGTTGGTTTGGGCTGGGGACGTGACGTTGAGGAGTGTGGTTTTTCACTCCCATCACGTTCTAATTTGACCAGTTGATGTTTGGAGGACCTTTTCCCGAACGCTTGCTCCTTTTTAGCACTCTTTGGAGATCTGTCCATCTTTTTCACCTCACCCCTTCGTTTACCAGGAGTTTCCAGGCATTTGGTTTCCTTGGGAGATGTTTGATCTGCAAAACTCTCTTCCTGTTCATAGTCAGAGCTCGATGGAAGCAGTTCTTTCCCCATTTCTCCTTCAGAAGACGTGAATTCAAAATCGGAGTCTGACCAACTCAGATCACCTTTTTCATCAGCGTCGGTCAAACGTAGATGCTCAGAATTTTCTTGTTCCAACTCAGAGCTTGATGAGTGCATTTCTTCACTGACTTCATCATCAGTGCCTACAAAGCACATCTTCTTAACTGCCAGTGTTCTTTCATGTTTCTCTCTCATCTCCTCCAAATCTGCTATAGCTTGAGTGAGTTTGGTTCGGTACACCCTCGAAGCAGATTGTGCTTTCTCTAGTTCGTCTGACAGCCGTTTGATCTCCTGCTGCTGTTTGAATTCACTTTGCTTGTGAAATTCTTTCAGCTTTTCAAACTGGTCATTTAAAGAGTTAACTAAAACATTCAGATGTTGATTTGTGTTTTTCATCTCCTCCACTTCCGCTGTAGCTTGAGTGAGTTTGGTTCGGTACACCCTCTCAGCAGATTGTGCTTTCTCTAGTTCATCTGACAGCTGTTTGATCTCCTGCTGCTGTTTGAATTCACTTTTCTTGTGAAATTCTTTCAGCTTTTCAAATTGCTCGTTCAAAGAGTTAACTAAAAGTTCCAGCTCTTGAGCTTTGTGTTTCATCTCCTCGTGTTCCACTGTAGTTTGAGATCCTCGCACGCTTTTCAACTCCTCTTTCTGCGATTCACAATTCTCGTTCAAAGCGTTCACTAAAACCAGCAGCTCTTGATTTTTGCTTTCCAGCTCCCCACAATCCCTCTCTACACTTATTTTCTCACGCTCGACCCTTTCTATGTTTCGATGGAGGCTTGCAATTTTTTTATTGCACCGTGAGCGCTCGTCCTTAAGCTGAGAGACCTCGTTACGAAGCTCTTGTATGGTTTCTTTGTAAGAACTGCATTCCTCTTCGCTGGGGCTGTCCCTCATTATATTTTTCAGTTGCTGGATCTCTCTTTCAGCCTCAGTATACTTTTTTGACAATTCGATAAAGTCAAGCTGCAACTGACTCAATTCTGGGACGGTTTTGTAGGGTTTGGGGGGATAGGCAGTGGCCATTTCCTCACGTACTTCAGTAAGGTTCATTATTCTCATCTCAAGTTGATCAATCACACTGGCCAAGGCATCGGTCTCACCGTTTTTGGCTCTGGTTAGAGTTGTCCACTTTCTAAAGTCTTTGAAAGCCGACTGTAGATGAAAAATTTCGTTTTCATAATGGCTCAATTTGATCTCGACCTTTTTAGCCATCTGATCTCTTTCACCTGCATAAGCTCTGGCGTGTTTAAGCTCATTTTCTGCTCCCCATGCTTTGTTCTTTGCAGATTCTAGCTCGATCTGAAGTTTTTCCACCTGGTTTAAGAGGATAGATGGGTCCCTGTCTTGGTGTCCAGCTCTCCTTGGCAATTGCTCGATTTCTTGAGTATAAAGTTTCAGCTGTTCGTGGAATCTGCTGATTTTATATTCAGTGTCTTTGACAGTGTTCTGTAAAGCACTTATACAACCGCTATTAACCTGAAACACATCTGATTTAGGATGATGCGTCGGCTCCTTGAAGCTGCAGGCTTGCCCTGCGTTGACTTGAATCGTAGCCGATAGCTGTTGCCTTAAATTACACAGAAATGTTTCCAGGATGCAGTCCAGTTTAGTGTTAGCTATTGCCATGATCGTGTTTGTTTTATCGGTCAGTTCATTAACTGTGCTTGGTGTTCGATAAACAGCCAGAAACTTTTGGTTTCTCTCAGCATTCACTTGGCTCACACATTCATCAAACTCATCTAAAGTCTTCTTCAGATCATTAAAACGTTTTTCCATTATTTCCATCTCCTCTTTGGACTGTTGCACACACAGTTTTAGTTCATTCTTTTGTACTTCTAGCCTGTTGTTTTCACTCTTCAGTTTTCCAGCTTTCTCCAAACTATCGCGAAGCTGAACTCTGGAGATCTCAAGTTCTTCGGCTAAAAAAGCACGCATTTTAACCACTGGGTTCATTTCCCGATCACGATGATATTGTGCTGCCGTGTCACGTTCATCAGTAAAAAATGTCTTTCCTGAAGACGTTCCATGAAACGGAGTAAGCTCCTCTTGTGTGACATAAGATGTCGAGTACATCCTTTCCATTTTTGAGAATAATCTGTAAAAGCTCGATAAAGTTGTACAAACTACGTTTCCCAGTAGAAATGTTCTTTAAACAGGGATCAGAAACGAATACCTGAAGTCAGAATTCAACGCAACTGAACTGTTCAGTCAAGAGCTCTGTTATGCTGACTAGTCTGTTGCTGTGAAGCAATGAAGCTGTCAACGTGCTTTGATGTGTCATAGAACTCTTGCTTCTTCCTCTTACAATGATGTCATAGAGGAAACCCGATCGGTACCACGCATGCGCGAAAGGTGTCTACTTCCGCTCGGAGCATTTTACGATAGTTACGGGTCAGAGTATCTGTTAAGATGTTAAAAAATAATAAGTATCTATTAAAATGTTTGTAATAGTGAAACATTTCAATATAATGTAGATAAAAAAGAAAAAAGAAAAGAAAACGTCGGACCGTTCAGATCGGGTCTCCCTGATCCGTACTGCGCATGTGCAGATGCTCTATTCTTCTTGTGATCCGTTCTATGGCAGTTTACTCCGCAGTGCACGAGGACGCTGCCACTTGCTGACTGAGCCAATTAGCCCGATTGTAAACTGAATTTGCGTTGTTACAAATCGTGTTTTTATATGCGTGTTAAATGTGATTTAGTGTGTTTATGCTTGTATGTGTGGAGACGATAGATTTGAATTATCTTGCTGTTCTGTTGATAATGTCCACTGTAAACTGTCAGTAAACACTGGCTGATCAGTCTTCAGGTGACCTGTTACATGTTTGTTTTTCTCCACACAGTAGGTTATATTTTCATTTAAAAGATGAAAATGTGTCACTGTGATACAGCAGACATTAATTTGCACTACATGTCCTATGAATGTTTTCCAACATGAAATGTACAAAAGCACAAAAGCCAATTCACCTAAAATTTGTTTACTTTCTACGTTTGTGTTAGATTTCTTAGTTTGCCACTTTGTCTTGAAATAACTTAAATCTTTGTAAGACCAAAGTGATCATTTTCACAGTGTTGCAAAATTAATGTTAGTTTCTCAAGGTATTCATAGGTTAAACATGTTAAATACAGACTTAACTACACTCATGTTTATATCCATATAAAATAACACAGGACCACGTTATAATTTCCACAGGTTTACTGTAATAATGCGGAGCACAAACAACAGATTACAAGAGCATGAACAACAGAAAAAGGATTGAGAGGATGGTTACAGCCCAGATTATTTGAATAAGGAGACACATATTGATGGAAATAAAAAGCTTTTTATTTTCAGCCTGTCTTCTGGCAGTGTGGTACTCTGAGTACCAGGTACAAGCCCAACAGATTCACCTTCTCAAACAGAGTGGCAGTGTGTGTCCTGTCAGTGTCCCGATTGATCATGCGCCCTGGCTACTTGGCCAAGGGGATGTCCCTTTGGCTGACTGGTTAGAGCGTATGACTCTCACCTGGGAGTCTGGGGACCGAATCCCGCCTGGGCCCTCGTTTATCCACCTTGCCACAAAAGCATTACAGTTTTTGCTGTAGAACTCCAAGAAGAAGGATCAAAAACTCTCACAAAGAAAAACAGGCATCAAAACGCAAACCAAGATGTGGGAGAACCACTGATGGGGAACCTGGTCACTACAACCAGGGTGGTGTGTGTGTGTGTGTGTGTTCTTGTACATACTACATACTGAGGACCATTTTGACCATTTTCCCTACAAAGTGAGGACATTTTTTGGTCCTCGCTTTTTTTAGAAGCATACCAGAAGCTTACTATACCAGTTAGAGGCGTGGTGTGAATTAAGTTTTAGTTAAGGTTAGGGTTAGGAATAGATCAGCGTTGGTTAGGGTTGGGGTATGGGTTAGGCATGGTGAAATCACAAAAATGAATGGAAGGCAATGAAGGGTCCTCACTATGATAGAAAGACAGACGTGTGTGTGCGTGCGAGTGTGTGTGTGTGGTTGTGTGTGGAGATGGGGGCGGCGACAGAGCGGACACATTAATTGTTCATTTGGCTGCAAAAGTGGCTGCAGTAGCCTGGGAGCATCTCCTCCGAGTAAAGTGCCGTTAGTTCTCCTCTTCTTCCTCGGCCAACGTATCCTGTAATAAAAAATAAATAAATAAACTCAACCAGAGAAGAATAGGCTCCAAGTGGTATGGTTCTCATGATGTCATAGCCTGACAAGCCAGAATTTGGTCTAGTTCACTAGGCTAATGATGTCATGCATCATTGAGATTTTTATTGTGTGTAATGACAACAATATAAGATTATAGAGTGTTGCATACCTCCGGGGCAGTGTTTGTACTGGTCTCCACATTGAAGGCAGATCTCAGCAGAGTACATGTTAAAGTACTGTTCTCTGTACTGTTCTGAGAACCTGCTCCATGTGCAAACACCTGTGGAAAGCAGAAGCATCAAAACAAAAGTACATTTACATGCTGTCAGTGAAAAACGTGACAACAGCAACAATAACTGTGTATATAATTTCATTATTTACTGAAGTCCTCACTGTGAAGCCACTAGAAGTGTGCTCGTCTTCTGAAACATTCAGTAGACACAAGGTCTCTGAACGTGGAGCACACCAGAGCCAGTTTGAAGATCGCTGCATCTCCTTCGTGAAGAACAACCTCTTCCAATATGTCCATTAGGACACGTTCTGGTAACTGTAACATTTATGTCAGGAGACAATAATGAAAATACTAAATTTGTCCATAAAGTTTCAGAAATATGAGGACTGAAAACATTACATTGAGTATCTTAGGTGTGTTCTTGCTGTGTCTTTGTAAATCCATGCTTTCGTTCTTTTTTAAACACAGCCAGTCTGTGTTTAAAAAAGAACGAAAGCATGGATTACATTGAGTAGTAGTACTATTACTTCATTCTACTACTGAATAATGTCTCTGAAGGAGCTGCCTGTGAGTATAACTACTAATTCAGTTATACAGTAATCCCTCGCTACTTCGCGGTTCGTTCATCGCGGATTTGCTGCTTCGCGGATTTTTTCTTTGGAGCATTTTTCAGGGGGAATTCGCAGATTCGCGTATTTTTCACTGATTCGCGGTATTTTTCTATGCGAAATATCAAGAAATTCTTGTTTTTTTTTCATCAATTTCATCATAAAATGCACTTTTAGTAATAAAACTAAAAAAACCAAGTAAAAAAATTTTTTTCTTGAGTTTTACCCACAAAAAGAGAATGTGATCATACGATAATTCAATAGGGAGCGTGGTTTCACAGACGCGGAAGTGATAGCGTCGGTGAAACGCCGGCTGCTCTAGGAAACCCCCGAGCGTTCGAGCGTCAACGAAGTGACACGGAAATGCCGGGCTTTCCAGAAGTAAGTAAGATAACTTACTATGAGCTGATAGTTCGTTGGATTGATCGGTAGGTTGGAAACTCTGATCATGAATCTGAAGAACCGATGACTGAGTGGTGAGCTGGAAAGGCGACTTCCGTTGATAGCCGCGGTTTGTGACGTAGGTGCGACGTGGAGGGAATCCCCGCGAGGGGCATGCTGGGAGTCCCTACTTCGCGGATTTTCACCTATCGCGGCCAGGTCTGGAACGCATCTACCGCGATAAACGAGGGATTACTGTAATTCAGTTATATCAACAAATGAAAGAAACAGGAAAATCGATAGATTACCTCCAGTATGACACCTGTCAGCCTCAGCCTGTAACAGAAAACATGATTATCACGTTAGACTGAAATGAAGACTACCACCATGTATGTAAACCTGCATTGTGATGAATAGTCTCAACATTGTTATCTGATTGTTGTCCTCTCTCCCCGGTCTGATTAGACTCGGTGGAGGCTTGGAGGAGGTTGCCTTTGGTACCCTGAAGACAGGCTGGAGAGTCCCCTGGAGGAGAAGGGATGCTTCTTCTGTCCAGAAGGCAAATCTTTGTCCGTGCCTTTAGAAAACAACGCCAGTCTGAATGGACTCTAGTTGTGTACCGCTGCTCTCTTCAGTATGTTCAATCTCAGGGTTTACAGTAAGCCACTCTCACAAACATCTGTCTGACCTGATGTCTTGCCTGAATCAAAGCTGCAAATATGATGGTGCCAGTTTGTCTAAAGAGCCTGCCACACCCCTCAATGCCGAATCTCTCATCAGCTGAATGCACCACCACAGGCGAATTGCTGGCATTTCCTCCTGAAGACAAATCTAATGTAAGGTTTATGAAGACTGGACACTGGCACAGATACTTTGGTGGTACTGTCTGAAAAAGCTTACCTCTGTGAACGACGGTGGAGATGAGGTGCAGATGCAGAGAGCATACTGTAAAGTAAAATCAATCTTTAACACGTTAAATGTTATATTCAAGTAATGGCAAGTAAATTCTCACCATCAGCATAAAGATGCCGCAGCAATTTCCCACGAACTGCTGGGGAAAGAACTGTAAAAAGGAAAATGTTGCATTAAATGAAGAGAGCTGACATGCAGCTGCTAGTTGTTAACTGCATTATGATGCAGCTGATGAGCTTTCCCACTTTTGCACTGAAAACATACCTCAAGGTCTCTTCCTGTGTTCTCCACCAGAATCCAGAGTCAGTGAAGGCTGCTGCTCTCCTGGCCTGGTAGAGAACACACACAACACACCAATCAAACGTTAAATTCATGTTGTAGGGATGCAACAGTACTTTTTCAAACCAATACAATACAGATAATTGGATCCGAGTACTTGTTGATAATTCTACCACACAATGGAATGGAATGAATCGGAAGACAGTTTTTACTTTCTTCAGTGCTTGTTACAGGTAACGGTGAATTAGATAAAAAAAACATATGAATTAAAATGACCACAAAATTCAAAGTTCAAGTGAAAAATAAAAATTTTCTGTGAAAGTTTACACATTTAAAGTATCGGTTCATAGTATCAGTTAACTAAACTATGCAGATACGAGTTAATGAGAACAGTATTGGCCTGGATATCAGTACTGGTGCATCCCTATCGTGAAGTAGCCTGACCCCGGGTTTCCACGGGAGCCGTCAGCAGCACGTTACTGCAGCAGCACGTCTTGCTCGAGTAAGCTGCTGCTTGGCCCTTCCGAGACGCGAAGCAGCAGGGGAGCAGCTGTCACCGACCGAGCACGAAGTCACACGAGTGACTTCGTCAGTAAACAACAACAAGCAGGAGAAAACTACAACATGGTTTGTGTTTTATGTTCTGTCCGTTTTATAATCGCCAGTACGGACCTGAAAAACAAAGGAGACCGCTAGCTAGGTGATCACTTCTCACGGGGACGCACAGTTAGTAACCTTTTTTAAAGTAAAGCAACCGGAAGGCAGTACGTTCTTTATTCTGAAAATCTCGGGAGCTTCTCTCCATTTCCGCGTCCGATTTCCTGTCTTTCCTTCCCCAAAAATGTCAAACTTGACCCGTTTCAGAGGCGTCGCGCGTAGAAAATAGAACCGGCGCGTAAAGGCCGCGACATGCTGCTCCTGAGACGCGGCCGACTCGCACTGCTGACGGCTCCGGTGGAAAAGGTTCTGTTGACCACAGCGGTTCCTACCAGCAGCTATGACGTGCTGCTGCAGTAACGTGCTGCTGACGGCTCTGGTGGAAAGCCGGGGTGAGAACGAGGCTGCCTCCCAAACCTTTAAGCCTTAGAACGAGGCTGCTTTTAGACGATCTTTCCAAAGAACACAAGAGGCCGCTGGACACGGCCAGAACACATTTTCATTTTAGTGTCGACCTAAATGTGGTTCGGTAGAGATCATCTCCAGAACCATCAGGGCCAAGCGAGTCCAGAAACAGTATCTGTCTCTCAGCTACCAACATAGCCTGAAATAGACATGTTAGCATCATCCATGAAAACACGACAACCTCTGTTATTTTCTATCAGATGAAAACACACAGAGCAAGAAAGATCAAGAGCACTCACACAGAGCAGGTAATGGTCAGCTTCACCTGCCTGCCGACTCCAAGCAGGAAAAAGCAGGATGTCCTTGGACCTGAAGTTTTCCACATGGTACAGATAAGTAAACATGCACATGCAGGGTAAAACCAACAAAAACATACCGGCAAGCAACGCAGCAGGTTGACTTGTGGATCCCTCCAGGTGGCCACGACATAGAGGTCAGCAACGTGAACACCTTTTCCCTGAAGGAAACACACAAAACAGCAAAATCAACACACAACCACCGTTCATGGCTAGAACCAAAGAAAAGGTGTACCAGCACGACAGATTACATGTCTTTGTGCAGCTTCCCCCACAATCTTCAGACAAGCGTTCCCAATCTGAAACAGCAAAGAGCAACAGAATCAGTTTCATTTACTATTCTTAAAATCTTGCATTTCATTATCTTTTCTCTGCAGTGCACTAGACTAAGTAACAAGATGTACTTATATACAGTAAGTATTATACTTATGGGCTCAACATACGGGAGGCGACCCGCGCCAGCGGCAAAGCCGTCTACGCGTTCTGTTCCATGGCGAAATCGAAACTTCCATTGTGTTGACTGGCTGTGTCAGGTTGGAGGGAATTAAGGTTATTTAAGCGGTTCAGAGTTGATAAAGTGGTAGATATGATGTTTCACAAGGTGCTGCTAGAGTTATGTGAAATCTCACTTCTGATTTTACTATAAAACATAATAATAATCAACTTCTCCTCCATGTTTGCTCGGAGGTGTGCGGAGCATCCTGTCCGCTCATTGGTCAGTGAATGAAACCTCCGCTGATTGGTCCTCGTCCGAGCGACAGCGATGAAAAGTTGAAAATGTTTCAACTTTCTGGGATCGCGTCGCTGGGTCATCCGTGCACGACACGTGCACGAGTGCAAACTTTCACACGCACGTTTTTCACGTTTCGCTTGGTAGGAGGGAGACCCGCGATTATCGCTTTGTCAAGCACGTCTCATTGAAAATGAATGGAGGAGAGGCGATGTCGCCTCCCGTGTGCCGAGCCCATTACAGTAGATTCCATGGACTGTTCCAAACCCGGCTCCAGAAGTCTTCCCGAGTTAGGCATTCCTTCACTAGGAGTTCTCCTGGAGGTCGGTTTTGGTCCAAGACACGTTCCACCTAAATGAAGAGCATTTCATGTGATTTTGCTTCAACACAATATAGAAAATAATAAAGATTAAAAGGGCAACTACAAAATAAGGCTGGCGTTGATTCTCATACTTCAGCCATTCTAAATCTATCATCGACTTTGACTTGTTGAGGTCTGACGCGGCTGCATAGAAACGTGCCGTACCAGACTGGACTGAAGAGGGTCCAAGTCTTTCTGCCACTTTGCTCCTGGGCTGGCATACCGATGATCCATCTGCCATGCAGGAGTCCCATACAAGTGGTCCAGGAGAAACTTCCCATCAGCTGGTGGAGCTGATAATATACAAATATGTGGCATGACAGACCAACTTAACCCTCTGATGCATGAATTATGAAATCTTCAACCATGATTTTTTAAACAATTTTTTTCATTCATGTTTCAACAAATATTTTTTGTAACATTTTGGTAATTTACAAATAATTTATTACATGCCCATCTCAGTGGACAGCGTGCATTCTGAACATGAAATATGTTGGCTTGACTTACTGAAGTCCAAATGGAGGGGCTCAAATGCAATAAAGTCTTCAACAGCTGTGCTTAATAGCAAACATAAAGAAATAACAATTTCGAGTACCTGTCCGCTGTAGTGACCTTTATGCATCAAAGGGTTAAATTCATTTTTAACATTAAATCAGTATTGATCTGTGGTAGTTCCTCAGCCTGGACACGTTTACCTTCTGGCGAGTTGCTCCCTTCACAGCAGTGGCCACCCCCGTTGGTGTGATGCTGGCCAGTGCACGGTCCCTGGTGATGGCTGGAGAATGCATCTCCTGACAGAAGCACGTCATCGCCTGCTTGAACAACACACTGCCCTACTAGCTTCCTTTTCCGTGCTCCAAAGGTCTTCCTCCGGGTGTCCTGTGCCCTCTCAATATTGCGAAGAACCTACAAAAACATTACATGAAAAGCAGAGAGAGAAGTATAAATATTTATTATTCACCAGGTCGCCATGGCAACGCTCATTCTGGAAATATAGAAATACAGAAAAGTTAGCTACTAAAGCAGAAAGAATGTTGAATACACAATAAAAAATGAGAACTGTATTAACCACATTTCCCCTTTTTCCCCTCGACAAATCTCCTTTCCCTGTCGGTCAGCCCTCCGTTTCATTCAGAACCGTCGTCTCCTCAACTCTTGTGTCGACGTCCTCTTCCGGGTCTGCAACCTCCAAGTCATCGTCCATGGGACAGGCGTTCATCACAGCAGGAAGACGTGGAAGTCGGTGGAAGAGCAGGAAATAGGGACTGTGGCGGGTGGAGTGCTGATCACACAAAATCTCCCCATTCATTCATTTTCTCTTGCACTTGTCAATAACTTTTTTTTATATAAACTTAAGTTTAAAAACACATTCTTAAGACGACGCTACACTGTGAAGCAGCGTAAAAGTCATACGGAATGTCAAAATAGGAATACCTGCTTTGCAGTGTTGCTGCCGTACACCACAGCAGCAAGGTGAACGTCCCAGTCGTCGTGGTTCTGGTTCACGTGCTTTCTGAGAGCGCGCTTCATGTTCTGGTTGGTCCTCTCATCCTTTGAGTTGTGTTGCAGAATAGATAAAGACGCATGACAGATTTCACATGAGTTACTCAAGGTTAGGTATCCAAATGCTAACCTGCCCGTTGGTCTGGGGGTGCTACGCCCCGGAGACGGCACGTTTAATATTCAGCATGCTGAAGATGCTGTCGCGGAGCTGCAGTGGCATGAGCAGACTTGGTCTAAATACATCATCTCAAATGTCAAGGTACGACTAACACTTTCACAAATTTTACCTGGTTCACAAACTCCTTTCCTTGGTCAGTGATGATCTTCCTCACCGTGCCAAACATGTATAACTTACACGTCATGACTGCAGAGACCTCAGCAGCAGTCTTGGACTTAAGAGGTTCTGCAATCACCCAGATCGGTCACGGTCAGGACATATCGGTTCCCTAGACGTGTTTCTGGGAGTGGTCCAATTAAATCCATGCCCAGCACCTCCCAAGGTTCTTTACCTGCAGGTCACAGAACGTATCAAGTGAAAATTTAAAGCTAACCTGCAGCAGACAAGCTTATTAACTTGAAAATTAAATGTAAATAGCTTTAAGATGTACCTTGACGGGATGTAATGTTGGTGCCACGGTCTTGATCGGGTCATTCATCTGGCAGCGATGACAACATCTGACCTGAAAGGCAAACAATACGTCTAGGAAACCCTAAACCAGTTGATGTAAATTGATAATAAAATAAAAAGACATAAAGTAATGTTGAAATGTAAGTGTGCAAGTAAACACATTCATTAATTATAGATTTATATAGCCTACAGATGTTTTAGAAAAAATTATGATGACCTGATTTAGCTTCTTCACTCAGATAAGGCTGTAGTGACTATCAAGTCCCACTTTTAGTCACCCTCGGGAGCAGGTGGAGGCAATGACTCGCTTCAACAATATTGTCCAGGCAGAAAGCGGGTTTGGGTTTATTGTCCCATTTACTGAATATGATGACGATCACAAGCTGGGCCCAGAATGGCTATTTCTTGTCCAGGTTTATGTAAATGATGAAAATTATAACGGCAAATTAGATGTGGCATATGAAA